CCTAACCCTAAACCTAACCCTAAACCTAACCCGTACCTTAACTTGAATCAGCTTGCTTTCAAAGCGCTATTTAAAGCGCCCTTCTTTCTCTGCGCTTGCTGTTGTTGCCCTGTTGATGACGTCAGCGACGCGGTTTAATCGGGCGCGCTTTAGTGGAGCGCGATTTTGTCGTGCCACGGCTGGAATCAACTACAGAGAAAGAAGGAGAACCATTTTCTCCCACCCCTAGTCTCCACAGATGGATACCTTGATATCACTAAAAGCTGCTGATGGGTCAAGAAAAACTAGGACATTCGTCTTGGCCCTGCCAGAGATCACCAACAAGTCATTCTACCTTTAATTTCATTTCTTTTTTTTTAACGGTATCTTTGTTACATTTCAACATTAAATATTAAAATAAAAATTAGCAGAAAAGGGAAGGGAATAACATAACGAATTAAAAGTGACAAAAAGTATGCATCAAACTACCGTAATATAATAATGAATTCTGACTTTTTTTTAGTACAAAGATAATAACAATACAACTATCTCAAAGTTTAAACAAATAGCACCATTTAGAAAATATTTTAAAATACTAATAATCAGCGTAGTAAAAAAAGAGCCTAATATTTTTAACTTTCATTTCTTTCATGCCTGTTTGCCTCCTACCCAATATCCAGCTCTAACACTACTAAAAAATGCCTGGACTCACATTCCAAGCCTCTCATCACTAATTCTCTTTCACCCCAAACAGTCACACCAGTCATGCTATGGGTGGGGGAGGGGGAGAACAATGAAAAGAATAGCAAACCAAGTGTGTTTCTGTTTCCCTATTTTTGTTATCAAGTGGTAGTTGAGGTTGTGTGAGGCAAAGAAGCTGTTGTCAACAATGGGTAAGGAGGCTAGGATATGTTTGCTCAGTAGTACATAGTAGTAACATGGAAAATAGATAAGTTAAGCATCAAAAATCAGACTTGTGAATTTCAGATGAAGTGAGATGGTGAAATCAAATTTTATTCATTAGTGGCAACCAAGTTTGGTTGTTCTTCGTTGTTTTAAGGGGAAAATTGCACAAGAACCTATTGCATAAGAACATAAGCATATCCTCAGAGGCTGGAATCGATTGACATGCCAAAAAATAAACCAATCCAGACCAATACTATGTGGTTTGAATACACTAACCTTTCTCTATTCCAAGGAACAGGTAACAGGGAACTGCAAAAATGCCTTCCTGCTAATTCCTCCACCAGTGACGCAACTCCTGCTTGCAGCAAGCACATTGAGTCCCTATCCCTATTTATTCAGTACAAATTTTGGGCTGAATCATTGATCAATCAGCAGCAATGTTTAATATAAAGGAAATATCATGCAGTGGTTTTTTTTTATTAGAGACTATCATGCTTTTAATCTTACTGCCAGGCAAGCAGCTGCTAACATAAACATAAAAATAGACATTGTGCAAGCCTATTTCTAGAACAGAGAACCCTGGAAAGGAATTTCTCTAATGCTGTGGGATGCTATTTGGCCCCGTTACTATAATCAGTACAGCCACTTCCCACTACTGCCCACGCTTTGCTAAACCTGTAGTTCAGCTGCTCTGACAGCCCCAGTTTCATTGTGCAAACTGCAACACCCCACAAGATCTTGCAAACAATAAGATATAATGACTGACGCGACAAGCTTACCAATAATGTCAGTTTGTGCCCGGCGACCACCTTTCTGCTCAACTGATAGACTAGTCTCCATATCCATGAAGGCTTTCATGGCATCCTCTGCTTTTTTCTTAATTTGGGCATAGATTGCAGCAATTTGGACCTCATCTTTCAGTCCCCAGTGGTGTAGGCTGCTTTCCAGACTCTGAGGCACGGTGGTCTGGTGTTTCAGTGGCTTATTTGCTGGACCTACACCACATATTACCTGAAAAGAACCAAAAGGTTTAAGATCTTTTTGAACTATTGTCAACAATTTGTCTTAATACCTCCATTCAAACAGTCCCAAGGGTTGTTGTGTTCACTTTGTTGGATTATGGCTACCACTATACAATACAGAAAAGTCTCCAGGATTTTTAAATTTATTCATGAGAGATTAGAGTACTTCCTGCCAGCAGGAGGGTAAGGATTTGCCAATCTGATGATTGATTGTGTAACTTAGCTAATTTCTAAATGAGACATTATTTTGGCATGAAAGGTTTGCTGTATTTTTAAGTACCAATAATTTTAAGTTCAATTATTTTTACACTGTTCTGTAGAAAAGTACAAAGTGGGGACACCAAAATTGGTGTGAATATGCTAATCATCTCTTGCACTGCATATAGCTCCTCTGTGGTCTGCATGCTTTTTTACCAATATATTCCTGGTTTCCTTTTAATTTCAATTGGGCAGTGTTCCCTTTACCTTGCTTAGCAGAGGCTGGTCTTTTCGGGACCTGCATACAATAGCACATATTCGGATTGCCAGGTTGCGCTGCAGAGATATGTTGCCTGGAACTGGAGATGTAGAAAGATGCAGAAAGAAAAATAGGAAAGAGAAATGGAAGATATCAGAAAGACAAATTCATAGGAGCTGAACATATGGAGGAAAATGAAAAGAACAAGACAGGTCCGATGAAAAGCTTATATTACTCTAGACTACTATCAGTCAAATAATTTTGGAGAATTGTGGATCTGAATATATTAACCTTACAATCACTACTAGTACTGTGAGCTGTGCATGTTCTACCACACCACAAATTATCATCACAAAGTCTCTCTTCCAAAAGGCCTGGTACATGCAAGAGAAGCTAACAACATGAAGCAAAGCAAGTAGAAAATAGTTAATGGAATAACTGAGTCTTCATTGTCCTGGTACCTTTAGATAAGAAGGACTTACAAATCCTAGAATTCCCAATTGTTACTATAGGTAGTTTGGGAGTTGTATTCCAGCATATATGGGAGGTAAAGGGGTAGATTAAGCTACACAGGTATCCTCAATTTACAACCACAATTGAGCCCAAATGTTATGTTGCTAAGTGAAAAATTTGTTAAGTGAGTTTTGCCCTATTTTACGACTTTTCTTGCCACATTTGTTAAGTTAATCACTGCAGTTGTTAAATTAGTAACATGGTTGTTAAGTGAATCTGGCTTTCCCATTGCTTTTCTTGTCATAATGTGGCAAAAGATGGTCACATGACCCTGGGACACTGCAATGTGACTCAATTGTCAAGGAGCTGAGTGTAAATCATGTGACCATGGGGATGCTTTCAATGATCATAACTGGGGGGAAATGGTCATAAGTCACTTATTTCAGTGCTGTTATAACTTCAAACGGCCACTAAGTGAACTGCTGTAAGTCAATGACTACCAGTACGTTACAGGCACTGAGCTGGAGGGTTATTAGCTTTGTGACATAATGGAAAGTAATCAATAGCTATTCCTTACCTGAGGAGTTGTTTGTAACTAAAGGCCCAGATTGGATGATGTGAGCAGTAGGAATGAAAGGCTCCAGCAAAATGCTCTCGTCTTCCTCTAGAGTCTCCAGTAAGGTGAGGACCACCTGCAGAACACTTCCATGTTCTGACTTGTCATGAAATGATACAGTTTGGGTTCCATTGCAGCGCCAGCCTGAGGGCTTCACCACCACCTATGGAAGTACAATACCTGTAGCAGAAAGGCTTAAATGTCCAGCTCTTTCCCCAAAACTCTGTATTCTACTTCCAAACACTCATCCTATCTTCTCATCAGAATGGAAAGAACTGCAGTATTCTTGCTCTATAAAGCCCATGTTTTCACCTCCTATCTATCTTGCTTTCTAACAACAGAACAGAATAAGAGTTGGAAGGGACCTTGGAGGTGGTCTAGTCCAACCCACTGTTCAAGTGGGAGATCCTATACCATTTCAGAAAAATGACTGTCCAATCTGTTCTCAAAAGCCTCCAGTGATGGAGCACTCATAACTTCTGATGGCAAGCTTTTCCCACTGATTAAGTGTTCTAACCGTCAAGACATTTCTCTTTAATTCTAGGTTGGTTCTCTCCTTAGCTAATTTCTATCCACTGCTTCTTGTCTTGCCTTCTGATGCTTTGGGAAATAGGTTGACCCACTCTTCTTTGTGGAAGCCCCTCAGTTCAGTTCAGGGCCTCTTACCTGTTTGTAGGACTCCATTGCACCACCTTGCAAGAAGGCTTTAAGTTCCTCCTGCAGAAGGTTGTCTTGTCCTTCCCGGCCACTCAATTCAACCACATGGATGTGTTGCTCTTCTGTCACATTGCGCAGGAGCATTGGGCGCTTGAAGGTGAAGGCCAGGGTGGGGGGTACAGCTACTTCTCCCTTCTGATCCATCAGCTGCCGGGTCAGCAACTTGTCCTCTAGCAGGCGAGTCAACTCTCCCGAACCTCCAGTGGGGCAATCAAGATCTCGGGCTAATTCTGCTGCTGACTGGCCCTGCAACTTGCAGGGTCCAAAGCTCCCAGTGAAGTAGCTGACCCGACGTGGGGAAGAAAATTCTTCCAGCACTGTGCGGCCACCAAGCTCAAATGTCACAGCCTTCAGTACGTATAAAGATGACTCACCAGGGTGAGTTTCTGAGGGAACCTTGGAGAGCCAGGCTGGTGACAAGCACAGCAGCATGTTACCTAGGCAAAGAGAAGACAGGAAATCCAGCCTGTGAATATATCTGAGAAAGTAAGGATGTTGTGAAAAATTAAATGAACCAAAATGTATAGAATTGCCTATACCACATTTGCATCATAATAACCAGTAACAGAACAAAAAACAGCAAGGCAATTTGCTGGTTTCCAAGCCGTTCAAAACAGTTAAAAAATGTATTCTGTACCACCAGCACCTAATTACTGGCTCTGACAATGGCTCTGGAACCAGAAAATGGTCTTCCTATTTCTGTAATGTGCTATCCTGACATACTTCCCACATGACACCACTGAACCTAGTGAGATTGAACAAGGAAAATAAAATAATCTATCAGGATATTATTAGCACATCGTCATTATATGTTGTTGTTGTTGTTGTTGTGATGATGATGATGATGATGCGTTAGCCAGTCATTCTATTACAATGCATTGTAACAGCCTTTTAGGGTTTATGAAAGGAAAAACATTATAGGAAAATGTTGTCCTACCCTTTGGAGGAGAATACCACAAGCCCTGACTTAATAATGTTTTATATCCAACCCCTATTGCAATCTGCAGAAAGCATTCTGAAAGCTAAATATGCAATTTTTAAAGCTGCCAACATTAATTCCCCAAAGGTACAAGCAACACATTTATAAATAAGGGTGTACAGATAGGTCTTTATGTAGATAGCTTCCTAATTTGTGTCTGCTTGTTTCATTTTTGCATTTTATTTGTTGGAAAGGATGTTTGTTTTTGAAAGGATGTTGGAATAAGACAACGGGGAAAAAAACAGGAAAAAAATGGCTTGTGAGTTACCATCTCTGTGCCTGGAAAGCAGCTCAGCTCCCTTTTGGGAGTCTTTGGTTTGCCTCCCTACTCAAATGAAGGGGAAGGTTGCCTGTTTGAGATAAAAGTTACCACATAGGCAAAGAATGGGAAATTGTAGCTCTCATTCCTTATTACACTACCGCTGTCATCCGCACTGATCATTAGTTATGCTGCTTGGACTGTCATGGAAAGAGAAGACAAACTGGTTTTTCCAAATTAATGGACTCCGAAGGGGAAGTGGAGAGAGAAGAAAGAGCTGTTTCTTCATATTATCCGTGCAACTGGGAATGACTCAGATGCCTTTGCCTTCCTTACAAAACAGATTTAATTCTCAAAATTGGAACACCCAAAACTGTTCCAGTTTAAGTGACAATATATAACTTTGAATTCCTTAAACATTCAAAATGGTAACCAACTCTGGTTTAGCCTCCTTTCCTGAAACAAAGAAACAGTAAAAATGATCTAGCCAGGAACAAATTATGATTCACAAATAGTATCTCCAATATCTAGTTTAATTGTCATTGACGTTCAAAAACTCTTCTACTTAATCCCTCTTTTCAGGCAGTCTCCAAGGATCTGACACGATTGAACAGAAAAAGAAAAAGAAAAAAACGATTAGCATCTTCAGAATTGGATTTATCATATGATAAGGAAGATGCTACTGTTTATCACCTTAGAAGATCACAGCTGATTTTCAAAGGCATCCTTGGCAAGGAAGTGGCATATATCTTCTGGCACTTCTGGCATATGGGGAGGCACTAGTTTGAAGAGCACTGAACATAGCTCATTTCTGACAATATGTTTGGGGTGAAACAAAATTTTGAGAATTAACTGATGGTAGTGAGCTTTTACATTTATTATAATTTATCAAGTGGAAGAGCATAAGATCGGGTCAGGTCAGCATTTCTGAGCAAACCTTAAGAATAGGTTAAGGTCAAGCAAAATACCTAATCTAATAACTTACCAGGACACTGGTTGCCACATTCCAGAAGCACTGACAGATATGAAGCAGGGCAACCCAAGACACAGATGGTTATATCTGAGGGTCCAAATCCTAAATAAGACAAGAACAAAATCAGTGGTCCATTTACCTCAAAACCTCAGGTTTTTCTTTCTTTCTCTGCATTCCGATCATCTTCTAGGTTCTGAAGGCAGAATCTCTGGAAATGTCTTTTTTACAGGTATAGAGGCAGATGAAGTAGAGTGTTGCAGTGGCCTACGGTTGGAGCTCTCACCTCACAATCAGGAGACTGTGAGTTTGATCCTAGGGAGAGGCAGATATTTCTCTCTGGGCACAATGAAAATTTACCATATTTTTCGGAGTATAAGACGCACCATTTTCCCTCAAAAAAGAGGCTGAAAATCTGGGTGCGTCTTATACACTGAATACAGCATTTTTTGCCTCCTGAAACCCCACCCCAAATGGCAGTGCAGAGCCTTTAGGAGGCTTTCAGAGTGCTCCTGGGGGCTGAGGAGGGCAGAAATGAGCAAAAAATGGGTTGTTTTTTGCTCAAGTTTGCCCCCCCAAGCCCTGAGGAGCACTCTGAAAGCCTCCTAAAGGCTCTGCATGCCCTTTTTTGTGGGGAAACAGGCCCGTTTTCATGAAAAACAGGTCGTTTTGGGGAGGTCTGCAGAGTGCAAAAACTTTTTTTTAATTTGCCTCTTCAAAACCTTGGTGCATTTTATACTCTGGTGCATCTTATACTCTGAAAAATACCGTATCTGCTGAACAAAACTCCACATTGGTGACTGGAAGGACATCTGGCCACTAAACATTCTGCTAGCTCCATTCAGATGCCCAGACTCCAGCCCACAAGGGATTATGGAGTCATTAAAAGAAGATGATGATAGAAGGCAATGAAGGATAGAGGCAGATGAAGAATACAAGGATTATTCCATCATGGGATGACAGATTATCCTATATATTTCCTTTGATTCTATTTATTCCATCAGCTTTCAGGCATAAAAGCTTTGTATTTTTCATTGGTAGGTGGCAGGACCTAACCCATCAAAGTTGAACTTTAAAAAAAAGAAGCTAAACACGTTGGACCTGATTAGTAGTTGGACAGAGGATCATCAGACAATTTTATAGACTAGACTGGTAAATGATTTTCTTTTAATTCCCTATCATTGTCCAGAAAGCTTCATGAGTCATCAGCTTCATTCAGGGAGTCTTTTATCTTTTTGAGGTTTGCATTTTACATTCCAATTCCAAATATAAGGATAAGCCATTGTGGTTTAAGTATATGCGCACATCAGGCAACAGGATATATAAGTATTCAACCAATCATGGTTAAAATGTATCCTACATGTGACCAATACAATGTGACACCCACCTGACCGGGGCTCCTTGGTGAGATCGATGGTTTCTGGGAGCCCTTGCTGCTGTAAACTGCACTGCAACAGGTCATAGTAATATGCTGTCCAGGCCCTGGCCTGTGCATCCTCAGGATTAATTTTGCTATCCAGGAGTGTATCTCGGTGCCGGGCACTGCGCAGCGGACTCAGTGGTGGAAGAAAGCTCTGTTCTGCCCAATCCAATTCCTTGGGTGTTTGGGGTGGTTCAGTGTGGATCTGGTCCAGAGACAACTGCAGTCAAAGTATTGAGAAATATGCCAAGAAAAAGGCAAAGAGATGCACTTTAGATTCCATCCAAAGAACAGAGAGAGACACTTATTTTGAGAGCTTTCCCCCATCCTAGCTGCTGGTCCATACTCAAGATGAGAAAGATCTTCAGTGCAAAAAAGAAAAGCAATACCAGCCACCACCACTTTCTACTTGTTAACAGATCTTCATTTCACTTTTCTATCCCCTCTAGAAATAATCTCAAATGGGATATTGGGGATTCTTAAAAATATGCACACATGCTGTCTTTAAAAATATTTGTCTCTGTGTGTGCATGCATGAAATAGCAACACACACATATACACACAAGCCAGGAAAAGCAGGAAAAGAAGAGGTGCGATGAAAACAACTTACCATTGTTCAAGGTGAAGATACTGCAAAGGAAAAAAGAAATAAATTATGTTTCTTTATGCTTCCTGTGACCCAAATATTTAGCCCGTCCCTAAATCCAGACACAAATCTCTTTAAAATGATGAGGATGTTGTTCCATAACCCTACACAATTAAATTTAAGGGACATTGAAGGTGCTTAGGCAGAACAGTTGCCCTCATCAAACTCTTGAATAAGAACATAACTGGCTTTCTGGGGTTTTCTGTGCTTATGGCTACTCTGGAACGTTTCCCTGAGAGCCATAGGATTCTGCCCTTGCTTGCTTGTTTGATTTAATTTCAATAGCCGCCCATAATATTGTTCAGTGAGTTTCAGTGAAAGAAGCTTGGTTGTTCTCAGAGGCCTTGGTGGTTGGACTCCTGAGGATGCTTTGTTATTTTGTCCTCTGTATGCTTATGATCTGTCTTTCTTTTACTGTATTTTAGCTGTTCAGAATCATTTGGAGTGAGGTAGCCAGAAAATATAAATAACCGATTTTTCTTCTGTTATCTTGAAATCATGCCCAATTATTCCATTTTGAAAACAATGACGTGTTTGATCTCATGCTTCTTTGAAACAATTGTTATTATGTCGCATTCATTCTGTTGCTCATTTTGCACCCCTCTCCAGATTCTACCAAGAATCTACAGGCTGAAATAGATCTTGTGGAAAAGGGTTTGCCATGTGTATGAACAAGGGGCAAATATTGGAGATAGCATTTTCAGGATCAGTTGTCTCATTTAAAATTGGTTATATCCATATTTTCCTTGCCTTCTTACAAAGATATCACAGCAGCATTTGAAATTCTCACAGAACCAGGCGGTAAATTTCATTACACTTACTGCTATTTAGGCCTTATTGTGATGATTAAACTAGTAGCCTACACGCAAAGGCAGAAATTAAATTGTGCAACATTCATGATCATTATTAAAGAGATTTAAAGTTCCATCCCCCCCCCCCCAAAAAAAAACCAAACCAATGCAAAGTTTGAGGATTTTCAGATGTCTTCAGCAACAAAATATCACACACCCCAAAAAGCAAAAGTAATGAGACCAAGTATGGAAAAACCTGATTTGATATGGATTGCAATAATATTGCATTGGGGAAATATATGTCTATTCTCCTTACATACGGAAAGATGGCTCAGAATAGTTAGAAAAAAATTCCAATATATGTGTGCCTTGTACTCTGCGCTAGCTTGGCCTTTTAATGGCAGGTGAATAAGCTGCTATGTGTATTCAGACAGAGATGTTTTGCTACATTGTTCCCTGGGAATTCACAGATTGAAGTCATTCTATAAGAATAAATCAAAGTAAAAGATGAAAGATTTATATGATCTGAAAAGAAACCATCAAGAATGAATTTTACCCAACACTGGAAGGAAGATACAATCCCAACAATACAAAGATTTAGGCAAGTATGCTAAATAATTTAAGTGAGAATGTTCTCATATATACAGTACATCATGGAGCATCACTTACAATCTGGCTTCTAACAGGGCCTACAATGTAAATTAGCTGACATATAAATAGAGAGAAGTTAGAAATTCCAAACCCCATTGTTTCCTTTTTTCTCTCTTTTATTTTTTGGCATGTTAAGGCTTGTTAATTTTGCTCTATTTAAGTCCTTTTGTTGGCATGATTTACATATAAACACAGGCACACAGACATTCCCCTGATGGTATATTCAGTTCTGGATGAAAAAAATAAATAAAATAAATTTAGGCTTATAATATTGACATCCTAAATTGTAATGAATATTGATAAAATACTTCTCTTCCTTTCTTTATTTCCAATAGTCTAAGTTATCTAAACAATAAAGTGTCAATAATCTTCAATCAATACTATATAAATATCATTGTACCAAAACAATACAATGTATTAAAAAGAAAATGAATAATAAAACCAAGCAAATGTTAGAATTAAACTTGGATAATTCAGGATACACTCTCACTCTCTTTGGCAAGTTCTGAAGATTCATGCAAGGTTTTTATTGGCTCAATCAGTGGGACTAGTTGGTCTCACCAGATTAATAATTCTACTGAGCTGAAAGGGATTGGTGGAAAGATGCACCAATTATTGTTGTTTATAGTAACCATAGTATAACAAAATGTCAATACTAAAGTACCTCGAACTCCAAAACATTTAAAAGTTATATGGTAAAGTTATTGCTACCCATGATGTAAGCATCAGTCTTATAGCATTTTGAATTCTTGTAGCCTTTTGCAAATCAAAATGCAAGAGATGGCATTAATTATGTCTCCCCACTTCCCCCAACCATCAAGAAATTGTATATCTTTTGTCTGAAGATTTGTATCTACTTGTATTTTCTTGCTTGCTTCCAAATAGAGAAACTGGGAAATGCTGTGATTATGACCATCCCAAAGTGCAGCTTTCAGTGCAACAAAGCTGTCAGCGGTTACTGAGAAGATCTGAGTAGGAGCCCACTAGTAAAGGAAATGTGCTTCTTTATGTAGCAAGAATCTGATGGCTCCCCAGAGCATGTATTTCTATATACTGTTGTGCATGAATGTTTTGTAAATACCAATATTCCTTTCTTTGTGTCAAAAAATTCAGTTCACTTTAACTGTTCCAAATTTCCAACTGCGTATCCCCAATGAAATTCACAACATAAAATCTATTTACAAAACGCAATCCATTTAACCAATCAAAATTTGGAATTAATTACTATAAACAGGATTGCAGACTTCAACTTCGTTTTTACTTGCCATCTTCTCCGGTTCTAGCAACATGCCATTCTGCAATATTATATCACACTAGTCTCCTCAGAGCTTTCCATGGGACAAATAAAATCCTCTTGCTCTTTTCAGTGGTAATGTATACCCCTAGCACCTACACTGAGGGAATGCACCCAATACATTTTAATCAATAATTGAATAGCAGCCTGTGTATCCTAGCAGCCTGTGTATCCTACATTTTCTGTTTAGGAAACTAAGAAATAGAGTAGTTCAACTGCTAGAGATTAGACACTTCAGCTTCCAAATGTCAGTTCACTGAGTTTATTTAAACAACCACTAGAAAGTTGATATCTTTCAGTTTAAAAGTAACTATCCCATCAATCTAATATTTGGTTATACAAATAATCCTCATTTTGTGACCACAATTGGGACTGGCAGCTTTGTGATTAAGAAAGCAGCCACTAAGTGAGGTGTCATTTGACCATGACTATGTTTTCCTTTTCCCCACTCCTCCAACCCTTTCAAATTCTCTCTTTGGTGCTAGGATAATTAGCAAGAAGGGAATTAATGTTTGTATTTACATTCATTGGAGAGGAAGAGGTTTCAAGAGAATAAGCAGGCACACAATTAGGAATATACATTGAAAGCAGTGCACTGGCACTCAGGGCCGGGATTGTGAGCAAGCTATGCAAACAGCCCAGTGTGGTCTCCATTCTCTTGTGATCTGTGCCTCTTTATTCTCTTGTAATCTCTTCCTCTCCAGTTCCTCTGCTCTGCAAAGAAGAAGAAACAAGTGGTTTCTATTGACAATCTCTTCTGTGCTTGATCCGTTTCCTCCCTCACAGAGGTCTTCACTTAATGACCCACATGGTCCAGGGTTACAATGGCAACTGAGACTGCTGGGATTTTTCTCTCTAAATAATGTGGTCATGTGATGTCGTGCTTTATGACTGCATCACTTAGTGACATTGGTTAGAGGTCCCAATTGCTGTCACAACACAAGGACTTCCTGTAATAATCATGTTGATAATTAAAATTAAAGTAGCCATGTGTACATAATTTGCACACAGGGACATTGCAATCGTTTAGATAAAGCTTGGGTGTGTCTATTTGTGATATGAATTGTAGAAGTTGCTCTCACTTCTATCCCAGAATAAAATATCTGAATCCCAGTCTAATCTGTTCTGATAGCCTCCTTTTCTATTTGAGGACAAAGCACAGCTGAATCAGCATGCAAGAAAAAGTGGTACCACCCCAAACCACTGCACTTTCTTTTAGCCTGGAATGATTAACTTTATCTTTTTCATTCATTCTTTTTTTGTTCCATATATCTGGTTGGAACTAAATTAAATCGTTCCATTTTTGATAATTAAATATCTGGAAAAACGGATTTTGAAATAATGTCACCAATCACCAAGAGCCTTTTTACTGCTATAAAATGACATGGAGAGAGGCTGCCATTACAGCAAGCAAAAGTATGGTGGAACAGTACGCATTCTTTTTTTTACCTCCTTGGATAGAGTGCGGAAAAAATCTAGTCAGCCAATTGTAACTCAAGAGCTCAGCATCGATCCACTGGCAGTTCTCTTGATTCTTTGATCTTTCCAGCTCCACTGTCATTTATCCTAAGATGGAACCTAGAAAGGGCATAGAAGTCAATTTAAAGTCCTTGTTTTTTGATCTAATCAAACAAAGTATTCACACTTTGGTAGCACTTCTAACAAAGTTTTCCCTGCACTGGATAAAGATTTGGCACACATAACTTTCTAGCTTCTGTTCCTAGATCCCAGCTTCATGAAACTTTCAACCAGGAGTGCAATTGTTGAACTACTTAGCTTATATCAGTGTTTCTCAACCTTCGCAACTTGAAGATGTCCGGACTTCAACTCCCAGAATTCCCCACTGGCTGGGGAATTCTGGGAGTTGAAGTCTGGACATCTTCAAGTTGCCAAGGTTGAGAAACACTGGCTTATATTGTCATAACTTTTTAAATAATTATTCTTTCATAACGATCCAAGTTTATAAGCATGAAATCTGAGATGATTAAAGCAGGGTTTTGGTTAATTAACCCAGCAACTTTTAATATTTATAACATACTTTATATTAGTTAAGTGGTCACCTGCTCAATTCTTTTCTTTTTTTCCTAAAGAGTTTTATTTGTTCTTATTTCTCTTATGGCATTGTTGGATTAAAGCAGGCAGCGGAGAGGCACCCATATTCCCGGATGTTCTTAACCCTTCTCTTTTCAGCCTTGGTCCAGCCCTTGAGGCATAGTCTTTCCAGTCATTTTTTGAGTACCAGGTGTGCACTTACTTCCCCAATGCTCATCCTAATGCTTGTTGACAAGAGCCCACTTTTAAGATCTACCCAGAAATGAAGAGATTTTAAAGTCCTGTTTGTTCTACAGATGGTGGCCAAAATTGAGCCCAGGATTACCATTGTAACTCATGGCGGTCATTAAGTGGATCTGACTCTAGCCAACTTTATGACCTTTTTTGCTGCAGTTGTTACATGAATAGAGCAGTCATTAAGCCAACCTGTTCTCACCAATGGGTGTTTTTGCTTGAAAGCAAAAGCAAAAGCTGGAAACGAACTAAAAAAATCCCCAGAACACCACAACCCACAGAAAATTGTCATCATGTGACCACAGAATGCTGCAAATGGCTCTAAATGACAGCCAGTTTCCACATATGGTCACATGGTTTCAGAGATACGAGTGAAGCCAGGGGAACTTTGAAAATGTGTCATAAGTAGCTCTTGTAACTTCAAATGGTCCCGAAATGATTGGCTATTAAGCAAGGACTACCTTTCTTTGGCAATTGTCAGGTAACAGAACAGAAATAAATCCTTTCTCAAATTCATGAATCTGTAAACCATGGAGTGACTTAGACTTCAGCACAAGAGTGATAGCCGATGAGTCCCTATAATGGTATGTGGGAATGACCTTGGAGGGGTAGGAGGAAGAGCCAGTCTAGACAACTGTCTGGACAAAAGATACCTCTGTCTACAGAAGCTGAGCCAGAATGGGAAGTGTTTGAGCAGGGACCCTCTCTAGTCTTCTCAAGCATAAAGAGAAAAAGGGTGGGATGGAGAGAAATACTTTCAAGCTTGCAAGATTCTGTTAGCATAACCTTACAATAAAGTTAAAGCTAGTATTCCTGCTTGTGCTTCTTGTTTGACCACCTTGAAGGGCTAGCAGCCCTTCCCTCTTGAATGCCAAAAATGCTTTTCTCCTTGTGATTATTATTGTGTCCTAACATGCAGCAAAGAGAGGCAGAATGATTTTAAAAGATCAAAACGGAAATGCTGCACATTCCTGGAAATGTATCTCTTTTATATTACAGACGGATGTTTGTGTATACAGGTAGTCCTCAAACTTAAGACCACAATTGAGCCCAAAATGTATGCTAAATGAGAAATGTGTTAAGTGAGTCCCCCCCCATGTGACTTTTCTTGTCACATTTATTAAATGAATCACTGCAGTTGTTAAATTAGTAACACGGTTGTTAAATGAATCAATTTCCTCATTGACTTTGCTTGTCAGAGGGTCACAAAAGGGAGCAAGTCAGTTGTTGAGCATCTGAATCACATGACAATGGGGATGCTACAACGGTCTTTAAAGTGTGAAATAAGTCCCTTTTTTCAGTGCTTCAAATGGTCGCTAAATGACCTGTTGTAGGTTGAGGACTGCCTGTATGTATGTTTGTGTCAATGCAGCATCCATATCTATTTCAGAATAAGCTGAATTGGAATTTTAAAAAGAACTTTAGGCTTTCATAGCTTGGTTGCAGAGCCTGTGTGCCTCAAATCCCTTTGGAATGAGACTTTCTCCAGAGTAAACGCGTGTCAGCATTGCACTTGCAAAAGTAGGCAAGCAGGAGGTAGAGAGATGCTTAAGTGGCTTCTGCCTGGCATGCACAATGGAGAAAAAAAGTCCAATTTAATGTCACCATCTTAATCCGTTATTTTTCTCTGCAATTATTGTGCTGTGCATCATTTTTATCTACATCAGGTCATCATCATTCCTCAACAATTCTTTCTAAGACAGGGGTTCCAAATCCTCAGAACCCTGTTCAGAACCGAGCCATGTGAGCGATGGGCTATGTAAGCAGTGGGTGCTTGCACTCACATGCAAAGCTCCATTTGTGTTAGTATGTCCACTGCACGCACAAATGGAGCTAGGTGTGCACATGCCTATTGCTTACATGGAACCATACCCTCTCCCCTCCCTGGGCTGCCAAGCCAGAAAAGTTGGGGACCATTGTTCTAAGAGACATCCCAAATGGTGATTTTCCTCGATAATCGTTCCGTCTCACCATATTAAACTATTATACCCCTCCCACAGAGTTATATCTCCACAAAATATACAATATTATGTCTATTCTGTTTTGTTTTTACTCAGCCCAGCAAGTATTTTATGTAATTTGAATATTTTTCCACATATGGGTAGTTTGCAGACTGGTACAAACAGTGCAGAAACTGGTGAAAACAGAAAAAGCCAAGCATATTCCGGTGTTGCAATTGAGGAATCTATTTTTTTGTGAAATTTGAACAAGTTTAATATCTGCATTAATACAATTACAATATGTGCAACACTGTATTTCATTCCAATTTTTTCATTGCTACCGATAGAGGACTTTGCCTCTCAAATAGGGGGTCTTGGAATTTTGTTTTGTTTTGAACTAACAGGTTTGGGTGGCTGGGAAATGGTTGGAAGCCCCTCCTCTAATCCCTTTACCTTATCTGGGAAGCCCTTTGTGTGTGGCCACGCCCTTTGCCAAAAGACCAAGCAAACCGCGTCATTTATTTAGAATGTAGAATCAACGGGGTTGGAAGGGACCTTGAAGGTCTTCTAGTCCAACCCCTTGGCCTATGCCACTTCGAACCAATGGTTATCCAATCTCTCCTTCAAAACCTGCCGTGATGGAAACACCCCCACAACAATGTAGAAAGCTGCTGCCAATTAAGATGTAGCTCGTTTCCCCCACAGCGCTTCTCTTTTTAGCCAAAGAGGAAGGAACAGAGTTTCTGTGGATTCTCTCCATTCTTTCCCAGCCTGTTCGTGCGCGGAAGGAGAGTGACTCCAGTCCGAGCAAAGGCCAAAGAGGGAAGATCCAGAAGTAGGCAGCGAAGCGCGCTCACACACTCCAATCTAAGGAGCCACGAAGATGTTTTTTTCCGGGGACCCTTCTAGGGCAAAATAGCGGTAAGCAGGATCCTAGTCAGGGCAGAGATAGTAGCCTTGTCCATCCTTTCCCGGATGGAACTTGGCGCCTTTATTTCCTGGCGCAGGGGCGGGTGGGGGGAATAGAGCGGGAGCTCCGGGGGCGGAGTTGAAGCGAAACAGGGTCGATCGCCGCAGGCATCTTGACCGACCCCCCACTCTTTCCCTGCCCCCAACAGCAGGCATAGTCCGAGCTGCCACCCACGTTTCAGAGGCGACCACATTCCCCCACGTAGCCCCCAGCCGCGACAACGGGAAGCGATTAAGGTGAAAGCTGCCCCGTCCCCTCAGCCTCGCCTAAGACCCTCGGTCGCAATTCGCAGGCGCGCCTATCAGCAGGTCGCAAACGAATCCGGGTCGAGTCTCCTCGGAAAGGAGAGCTTCGCTTGCAACCTTGAGAGGAAGCGCGCGGCTCCCCCACCCCGCCAAGCACCCATTGATCGTTTTTCCAAGCGCGGCCGGCCACGCGGTCGGCGTTTCCCCCTCCCCCGTCCACCACCGTCGCACCCCCTTTTCTTCGGTACTACAAGCAGCGTTCACACATCCGTGAGCGGCAGCGCCATCCCCGCTCCGGCTCCCCGGATTGTCGAGCCAGGCGGAAAACGCTGAAACGGGAGAAAAACCCTTCGCTTCTCCTCCTTCTCCAGCCCGGATTACCTGGGAAAGAAGGGAAGGATGCTAAGGCCAAACCGCACGATCCGGTCCGCTGGCGAGGGCGGGTGGAAAGAGCCCAGAATGAACCGCGGATCTAGGCAGGCAGGCAGGCTTTATAGGGAGACGGGAGAGGCATACCCAATGAAGAGCGGCAGTTTAGCAAGCATCGGAGCAAAACAGGCGGGCGCTTGCCGGGACCAGAGACCGCCCTCCACCATTGACCAGACGAAACGCGATCCCGGGGTTAGGGAGCGAGCGCGCAGTGGGATTGCTGCCAGCGGTGGGAAAGCGGTCGGCGAGGAGAAAGGAAGGGAAGAGAAGCCTTCCTATTCTCGCGGGTTGGAGGTGGGGGGAGGTGATGTGAAAGGTCAGAATTTCCCCTTAACTGAAAGGAATGAAGCTACGGGTTCCCTTTCTGTGCATTGTTACTATTAGGACTCCTCTTTGGAATCAATCCTAACTCGGGTGGATTATCGAGAATAGCGAGGAATTAAGGAGAAATTTCCTAACAGAACAATTGACCAGTGGAACAGCTTGCCTTCGGACATTATAACAGAATAACAGAGTTGGAAGGGACCTTGGAGGTCATTTAGTCCAACCCCATGCTCAAGCAGGAGATCATATGCCATTTTAAGACAAACGACTATCCAGTCTCTTCTTGAAAACTTCCAGTGATGGAGCACCCATAACTTCTGGAGACAAGCTGTTCCACTGGTTAATTGTTCCCACTGTTGGGAAATTTCAGAAAATAACCAGTAAAATGTGTTCCATGGCTGTCTTAAGCCCTCGCTAGCAGCACACATTGCAGTTTGTCAGCCTCCATGGCCTCAGCCTGTCTTCACTGGCCCACCTCGCAGGGCTGTTGCGATGCGGGGACGGGTTAAACTCATACTATGTTGATGTACGACCTACATTGTAGGTGCTTCATCAATGGAGGCTTTTAAGAAGAGACTGGATAGTCACTCGTCTGAAATGCGTCTCCTGCTTGAGCAAGGGGTTGGACTAGAAGACCTCCAAGGTCCCTTCCAGTGCTGTTCTAATTGATTGATCAAGTTCTTGACAAGTCCAGGCAGTTTTCTTGGCAACTTTTTCAGAAGTGATTGGACATTGCCTATTGCCCAAAGTCACTCATCTCGCTTTCCTGATTAAGGCAAGACTAGAACTTGGATTTCCTACTCCTAGTGTAGTGCCTTTAATTGCTATACCAGCATTTCTCAAATTTGGCAGTTTTAAGATGCGTGGACTTCAGTTCCCAGAATTCTCCAGCCAGCATGGTTCTACATTGATTTGCTTGTTTGCTTTTTCATTAAGACTCTGAATGATCTGGCCCAGCTCCTGGTTCAACACAATAAGACCTTAGTAACATATGAACAAGCTTAGTCCTTTGTGCCGTTTATAGGCTTTCTGGTCCTAATTCCTTGAGTCCAGATTCAATAAAGGATGCAATAAATCATGTTTGTTTTTAAAGTGCTGTGAGATAAATATAGTTATGAATGGATAAGCCACGGTGGCGCAGTAGTTAGAGTGCAATACTGCAGGCTACTTCTGCTTTTCACCAGCTGCCAGCAGTTTGGCAGTTCAAATCTCACCAGGCTCAAGGTTGACTCAGCCTTCCATCCTTCCGAGGTGGGTATAATGAGGACCCAAATTGTTGGGGGCCATAGGCTGACTCTGTAAACCGCTTGGAGAGGGCTGTAAAAGCACTATGAAGCAGTATATAAGCCTAAGTGCTGTTGCTATTGCTATAATAGTACAAATATGGTGGGTTTTGTTTTCAAATTTAAGGATGCCTAAGCTGTTTGTGGTTTTTAAAAAAAATCCCTATTGATCTCGCCCATTCTCAGATCCTTTAATGACCATGGAAGGTCTGGCAGGTCCTTCCATGGCGATATTAGTGATGTATATTTGCAATAGTGCTTTGAGTCATCTTTCAATATCACAAGGAGACTGATGAAAGTTGAAAACACAGTCTATAATAACATGTATTCCCAGTAGTTGCTGTCAACCCTTAAAGGTAGATCAGACTAAGAAATCAAAATTATGATTGCTAGCACTAGTTTGATTACACTAACAGAATCTTGCAAGTCTGAATGTGCTTCTACGCCTCTCGCCCTTTACCATCAAGAGAATTAGGAAGGATCAAGTGAGATACTTTATCAAATTACAATTCTACCTCAGAGTCAAATGTCTTTTGTCTGACTACTATCTCAGTTGCAGCTCTTTTTCCTGTTTCTCAAGGTTACTTTTACAGCTTGTTATACGTGGATTGAGAACTCTTAAATGTTTTGGATCGTGTCTCAGATTAAAGCTGGCATATATGCTCTAGCTGAAGCAAAGGTTTTCATTGTCTAACTGCTGATATACCATATTTTTCAGAGTATGATGCACCGGAGTATAAGATGCACCAAGATTTTGAAGAGGCAAATTAAAAAAAAGCAGATTCCGCAGACTCTCAAAAACAGCCTGTTTTTCACAAAAACGGGCCTTTTTTTCAAAAAAGGGACATGAATAGCCTTTAGGAGGCTTGTAGAGTGCTCCTAAAAATGACCCCCCCTTAAAAAATGAGCAAAAAATGGCCCATTTTTCATAATAATGGGCCTGTTTTTTGACAAAAAGGTATGCATAGCCTTTAGGAGGCTTATAGAGTTCTGCTGGGGACTGGGGTGGCAAAATTGAGCAAAAAACAGCCCATTTTTCATTCATTTTTGCCCTCCTCAGCCCCTAGGAGCACTCTGAAAGCCTCCTAAAGGCAATGAACAGCCATTTTGGTGAAGGAGCGGAGTTTCGGGGGGCAAAAAAAATGCTGCATTCAGTGCTGCATTTAGATTTTCAGACTTTTTTTTTTTGAGGGAAAAAGGTATGCCTTATACTCCGAAAAATACAGTAGTTGAAAATAAGGATCAGAAGCAGTAAAGATGTCCCACATGGAGTGTGTGAAGCATGAACCCAGTAAACTGGTTCATGTTGGAAGGATAAAGAATAAAATTGAATGCACCCAAGTTAACTTCTTGGACATTATTGAACAGAAATGCATTGTCACTGGGCACCACAATTCTGATAATCACATGTTCTTCATTAATTGATTCATTGATCATGTTCCATCAAGTTGTTTTTTACTCCCAAGTGACTACATAAATAGATTTTTCTCCATTACAATCTATCTCTAACCTGTTCTTTCATGTTCCCAATGGTGTATTTAACCACCACTAAATCTGAGTCTATCCATCTTACTACTTATTGTCTTACTCTCAAAAGTAAGACAATAAGTAGTGTGACCTCTAGGCTGGAGTACTGCAATGTGCTCTACATGGGGCTGCCCTTGAAGAGTATTCGGCGACTTCAGCTAGTC